CGCCACCATTCCTCACGCTGGCACACTGACACTATTTATATATAGTGTTATATTTTATTTGGGATATTTACACTTGTATTTTATATAATATATATATATATACACTTATATTATATATATATTATATATATATTATATGATATTTATATATATATATTATATATATCATAATTATAATATACAGTGTCAGTGCTGCAGTCTGTCAAGGAATTGAGCGGGCCGGTACGGGTGTGTTGTACTAGAGCGATTTTGACAGATATTTACAGATTACTATCGCAATAATAGGGTGAAAGATGAGATTATAGAACATTGATTGAATTTGGCTAATAAATAGATTTCGTTATTTTATTTAGATTATTATTTATTTTGAAACGCTTTTCAAGTGCCTGTGGCCTGCCAGCATCATTATCAGGGAAAATAATGAAATGAAATATTTGTCATTATCTACTCCTGTTCATATCCGCCTGCCCACACTAGTAAATCGATGTGTGTGTAACTGTTTAGGCAGCGCCGGTGTTCATGTGTAGATGTGGTGTGCGCGGGTCGGTGTGATCCTCACGCCAGTGGCCGGAGAGTGCGCTGCCCTGCTGGCAGGTGAACTAACGGCATCATAATCGCTACGCAAGGAGACCGGTCGCAACTTTTGTCGAGAAAACGTGATTCGATCGGATACGTTTATTTAGGCGTAAATTCTGAATCCAGAGAATGGCGATCTTCTGCGCAAGCGCGGCTGTAGACACGTGTACGCGTAGATGCAACAACAACAACAACAACAACAATAATAACAACAACAACAACAACAAGACATCAACTACAACAACAACAACAACAACAACATCACACTACGAAACAACACAACAACATCAACAACAACAACACTGCAGCAGCAGCGCCGGAGCGGTAGCAGATACCCAGTAATCACGACAACAAACACACACAACAACCAACAACAACAACAACAACAAGAATCAATAATAACAATAAATATTACTAATAATAGATACAATAATAATAATATAACAACAACAACAACAACAACAACAGGAGCAGCAGCAGCATCATCCTGATTGCTGTTCCCCTGCCCCGCTCATTCCTAGCCATCCCCGGTGCCTGCCCATGTATCCCCTTTCTGCGTCCGGAAGCCTGGCGTTCTCTCCCGTCATTTCCCTGCAACTCCCCTTCCTCCCTAGGCGTTTCCCTTTGCGCAATTCAGCGTTGCAGCCCCAATCGTCGCTAAGCTAGAAGTGCAAAACGTCGGTATTATACGATCTTAGTTCTGACGCCTCCGAGATCTGCAGTCGAGTCCGTTCGCCGGCGTTAGTGCCAGCGTGCGTCCTTTGTGTTTTCGAGGTCGGGACCTGCCTAATTATTTATCTTTCCGTAGCTCGGCGATCTCGAATTGCAATATCTCGGTAGTAATGAGCGGTTTGAAGATGATATCTACCGGTCGTAAATTTTTTCGGATGACGGTTATGCCTCATTACGATCGTGTGTGTCGGCATAGACCGTCTCCGAGTTAATCAGTTCCCGATACGACATCACGTTGTCGAGACTGTGTTGTCTGAGAGAAGAGAGAGAGAGAGGAGAGAGTAAGAATGGAGAGAGGGAGCAGAGGAGAGAATATAGAGAAGAGGCGGAGGAGAGACGAGAGAGAGAGAGAGAGAGAGAGGATGAGGCGAGAGAAGAGCAGAGAGAGAGAGAGCAGAGAGCAGAGAAGAGAGGCAGAGAGAGACGACGAGAGGAGGAGCAGAGAGAGCGAATCACATCGCCGACGAGATCGCTTTCTGCGCTAACCGCTGCCGTATGTCTCGTAGAATGTTTGTTGTTTAACGCGTTGGCGGCGTTCTAAATATGCGGCGATGGGTGCGATGATTCGCCAGTATAATGTCGGCGGTACGTGTCACCCCCCCCCCCCCCCTGCGCGGATCCGGACGTTAACGTCCCCAACAGCGCCGCGCGGGTCCGAGGGCGCTGTAGGCGCTAAGAAAGTTCGTTAGCGCGCCAGCCTGCCGAGCGCAGTACTTGAATTAATTACTCGCTCGTTCGAATTCGTGTGCACGAGCGGCCTGTGAGGCTCATTAAACGCATCTAAAGCTTACATCGCTGGACAAGACGTGCGCCGGGGAGCAGAGAGCGAGGAGAGACGAGCGAGCAAGGCAGACAAGAGAGAGCAGAGATGATGGAGAGAGAGCGAGGAAGAGAGAGAGAGAGGAGAGCAGAGTGAGAGAGAGAGACAGAGTGCGTCGCAGGAGCGAGAGGGAGAGAGAGTGAAAAACCAAAAATCTAATAACGGAAAAACGAGAGAGAG